TGTTATCAAGAGGGACCAGTCCTTGGAGAAGGACACCGTGTTTGGTAAAGTGGAGGGTCAGTGAAAAAGAGGAAGACCCTCAATGAGATGGACTGACACAGTGGCAAAAACTATGGGCTCAAATATAACAACAATTATGAGGATGGTGCCAGACTAGACAGTGTGTCATTCTGTTGTGCATAGGATTGCTATGAGTCAGAACTGATTGGATGGCACCTAACACCAACAAAGGTCCATTAGGGCATCTCCTTCCACACCTGACCCTTCCCTGCTTCCATGTTTTTGTTCATGCTGAGCTGGCTGCCATGAAGGTCCTTTCCCTTTTCACTGTTATTTTATACCCAACTCAAATGCCACCTGCTCCACAAATCTTTACCTGATGACCTTAACCAGAACTTTATCTCATACATCCATCGAGTCCCAAAACTCTATGCTAGTACACCAGCAGCAGCAATGACCACGGTCTACACACCATCCCAGCTAGCGTCTCTCTCCTGTTTGAAGCTGTGGATGCTTCAAGAGCACTGTCTCTAGCTTCATCTTGTAATAATATGGATAGCAACCGTAATAGTCATATGTTCTAGTAAAGTTCTGTTGATTCAGTTCCAACTCATAGTGACCCTATGTACAATAGAACGAAACACTACCCAGTTCTGAGCCACCCTCACAATCTTTGTAATGTTTCAGCCCATTGTTGCAACCACTGTGCCAATCTTACTTGTTGGGGGGGAGGGCATCTTCTTTTTCGCTGACCCTTTACTTTACCGAACATGATATCCTTCTCTAAAGGCTAGTCCCTCCTGAAAACATGTCGAAAGTATGTGACACAATGTCTCAGCATCCTGGCTTCTGAGAAGCATCTGGCTGTACTTCTTCCAACACAGATTCGTTTATTCTTCTGGCAGTCCCTGGTATATTTAACATTCTTTGCCAACACTGTCGTTCAAAGGCATCATTTTTTCTTATGTCTTCCTTATGCATTGTCCAGTTTCCTAGGCTTCAGATTGTTGTTGGGAAAGATGCTACTCAGCCCTCATAACCACCTTATAAACATGTTCTGAACTTCACCCGGTTTTACAAATGTTAGCTGGCCCAAGGAATAGAGTCCAATTGTAAAGCCAGATACTGACTCTAAAGTCAGTGTCCTTAGCTGCTGTGTACTACACGATCTTAACGAAGCCCTGGGCGATCTATAAGATAAGCAAGGAGCCCTGGGTGATTTATAAGATAAGCAGCAGACTGCAAATTACAAAGTCAGCAGTTCAAACCCACCAGTGGCTACTTGGGAGAAAGATGAGGCTGGCTGATACTGTAAAGACTTATAGTTTCAGAAACCCTAAGAGTTATGCGTCAGACTCAAATTGACTGCAGTGGGTTTGTTTAACAGCTGTCTCCTGGATAGGTTGTTTATATTTTATTTAAAAATACAGATGCCTTGGCCCCTGTCCAGAGCATCTGATGTAAGTGGCCTGGGTTTTGACACCCCAGTACATCCATGGCTGTGGGTCATTGTTCTAGCATCCAGGGCAAGTGGTTCAGGTGAACCTTCTGCCTCCAGGCAGGACACAGTCTTGGAAGGGGGTCTTGGCCAATGCCACTACTCTACACCATCTTGTCATTGAGTCAGCACCTTATTTTTAACCAACCACCCCATGGGGGTAGGCCACGCAAGGTAACCAGCACCAAAAACCCATTGCCATTATGCTGATTCCAACTCAGAGAGACCCTACAGGGCAAAGTAGACCTGCTCCCTTTAGTTTCTGAGACTGTCAATCATTACAGGAACAGACAGCCTCTTCTTTCTCCCTCAGTGGGGCTGCTGGCTTTGAACTGTCAATCTTTTGATTATCAAGCCAATGCCTAATCACAGCACCACTCGGGCTTCTTAACCAACACCCAAACCAAAGACCAAACTCACTGCCTAATCATTAAGTCTATTCTGACTCTGTAGTACCAGCTCTGTGCAGGGTTTCTGAGCCTGGTGTGGCGCTGTGGGTTAGTGCGCCAGACTGCAAAGCCATTTGAACTGCAAGGCTGTTGGTTCAAGCTCACCAGCTGCTCCTCGGAAACCCTATACAGGGTCGCTATGGTTTGGAACCGACTCAACGGCACTTAACAACAACAACAACAAATCTTAATGGAGCAGAAAACCTCATTCTTCTCCTACAGAGCGGCTGGTGGGTTTGAACTGCTGACCTTTCGGTTATCACTCCAGTGCTTATCTTACAACACCGTTGTTGTTGTTATTGTTGTTGTTAAGTCGGTTCCAACTCATAGTGACCCTATATAGGTTTTCCGAGGAGTGGCTGGTGAACTTGAACTACTGACCTTGAGGTTCAAACTAACTTTGCAGTGCAGTGCATTAACCTGCAGCGCCACACCACTAGGTCTCCTTTAATCAACACCATTGTTGTTAGGTACCACCGAGTCAGTTCCGACTCAACCAACACCAGGCTCCTTTAAATTCTCATCCTTAGGATTGTCAGTCGCCCAAACCCTTTTTCCTCTGCATCCTTAGCATGTGGGAAAGATTATGAGATAGCAAGTCCTGGATCGCATTCAGAATCACTGGAGCCAAGAGGAAGCTGACAACACATCCATTTTACAGATGAGAAAACTGAGACCAAGAGAGAAGAGAGTGGTAGGGCCAGATCTAGAACCCAGGTCACATGGTATATGCTACCCAGACTTTCTGACGCTCGCCTTCCTGAGTCTCGTTTTACTTCCCTGCAAAGGGGAGCTAGACTATAATGGCTCCTGGCAAGGATTAGCTGAGAAATGCAGAAAACAGCTGTTCTAGGACAAGGAGAAAAAGTGCACTGAGTTATTTACAAGTTTGGGACAAGACAGACGGTTTACTTGGTCAGACCAGCCAGGGCTTGCTGTCTCATAAGAGCGTGTCCTGAATCCTCCTCCTCCTGCCCCAGGGGACATCTTGACCCATGATCCAGCCACCTGTTGTGGTCTGAGACCTGTCCATCCCACATATTGGCACGGGGTCTCTGTTTAAGCCCAGCAGTGACCATTTGTCCCCATCCTCTGCTCAGCTCCACTTCTTAACTTGTGCACAGCAAGGCCAGAAAAGCCAGCAGCCTCATGGGAACTCTCCAATCTCTCTGAGGCTACAGCATCAGCCACCTCACTCAGCAGCCAGCCCTCCCCAAGCAAGTTCCTGAGAGCAGAAAACACACCGATCTGGCTCTGGCTCAGCCTCCATCTGGTATTGAGACCTTGAGAAAGCCACTTGACCCCTCTGGGTGTTAGTCTCCACCTCTGTGGTTACAAACTTGTCCATCCCATTGTTTTACAGGCAATCAAATGAGCCTACACACAGCAAAATGAGGATTAAGTCACGACAAACACACAGTAACATGGAATGGTGATTCACAACGCCACTGGGGTCGCTTTTGGCCCTCTATGAATGCACTGGGGCAAGCATGGGTGGGGGCAGAGCCTGTTCTCCTTGGCATCCTCTCCCACAAAGACTTGGCAGGACCGTCCCAGCAGCTGCTGTTGCTCAGCTCCTAAAGGCTTTCTCTCACACAGCCAAGTCATTGTCACAAACAGGTGGCGGCACATGTGGGACCCACTAGGGAAACACCAGTTGAGGGGCATGGAGAGGTGGAGCCAGAGTAGCCATTTGCCTCCACCCTACACCAGGCTCTGAGGCCACCAGATCTTGCTGCCCAATTATTGCAGCATTCATCCTACCTCAAGGGGGCATTGGAGAGACATAGGAAATACCCTTTCTGACTAACACTGTGATACTCCCATGAGCTCTGGTAGTGTAGTGGTTATGAATTGAATCGGGCTGTGAACCTTAAGGCCAGCAGTTCGAAACTACCAGCCGCTCCGCGGGAGAATGATGAGGCGTTCTGCTCCCGTAAAGATTTACAGCCTTGGAAACCCTGTACAGGGTCGCTATGGGTCGGAACCGACTCGACGGCACTTAACAACAACAACTCCCATGATGCATTGCACTCCAAGCCAGCCTCCTTGATGTGGAGCTAGGGCACCATGTTCCCTGGCAAGAAGGTGGAAGAAAGCAGTGACTGTCACAGGGCATGTTAATAAATCTCTAATCACAGGGCTACATCTTATCCAAACACTGTTTCAATCCTGCCGTGCTAATCAAAATACCAAAACCACCAAAACCACCCTGCCATCAAGTCGATTCTGACTCAGAGGAGCCCTATAGAGTAGACTGGTTTCCAAGGCTGTAAATCTTGACAGACGCAGACTGCCTCATCTTTCTCCCGAGGAGCTGCTTCTGGTGGCTTCAAATCACCGACCTTGTGGTGAGCAGCCCAACACTGAACCCATGGCCCTTTTTATTCAAAATTGGTAAGGGCTTTTAGAAGTCACAAACTAATCTGAAGAAATTCTAGCAGGAGCCTGGTACTGTGTAGCCAAACATGGATTAGGGATTAGGGGCATTCTGTGGGGGTCCAGGGAGTGAGCATGGGAGCTGGAGGGCATTTGGGGAGCTTAAGGCTATAGACATTTACTCCTGATATGAGAGAGCTTCGATATTTTAACAAGTAACACAAGTATACCAGTGAGTACAACTGAGTAGCTTTTTATGCCTTAATTATCTTTAGCCAATATTGAGGTTTCTCAAACTTTTGTTAGGTACTATGAGAACTGCTCAGGATATCAATTTGAATGAGCAGTTTCACTATTGCTCCTCAAATAAAAGTCATGTGATCAAATAATTACTCTTCAATTACAACCAAGGCAGGCATAGTGGGAATCAGAGGAAGAAGGACAGTAAGAGAACTTTTCCAGAACTATCTGAGCTGGGTTTTGAAGGATCCATAGGAGATCAATAGACCAAGTTGGAGAACGGACATTTCTCAAAGCAGGGAGAGACAGAGTAGAGGCAGGATGGCTTGGAGGCTCATCGAGTTAAAAGAACAGGAGCGACTCAGACAAGCTTAAAGGATACACTGGTGGGACTCGAAAGACACACCTGGTCTCATCCCCATGGGGCCACTTACCTCTTGCTCCTGAGGGGTGAGTACTGTCTGCTTCTTCCGCCTTGCTTCCTTGGACTCTTTCTCCGTCTCCCGGACCAATTGTTTAATGAAGCCCCCTGGGATGACAGAGAAAAGGGGAGGCGGGGAGGATGGTGGTGGGCTCTTGTCTTCTTCACGAATCTGTTTTGCAGAAGCAAAGAAGGAGAGAGCCCAGTGAATCAACCAGTGGGGAGGGAGTAATTGGTTATGAAGCATGAGAGAGAGCTGAGGAGGACATATATGACTAAGCCCAGGCATGAGAGCTCATGGCAAAGCAGGTAAGGCTTGAGAGGCTGTCAGGAGGCCTCAGAGCATGAAAATGGATGTGTGGGCAGCAGGCTATGAGGATCAGTGTATCTCCACCTGGTCCAAGGCTTCTCATGACATGAATCCGGACCCTTAAGGCCACTGGCCCACTCCTGAGCAAGGAATAGACCCATTTCATGGAAGACCTGCCTGACATGGATGGTCTACAGGGGACATCTTCACGTTCCTGCCTTGGCTTGGAGCAATTGGCTACTTACGTCAATATCACAACGCTAGAGTTACTGGTCTTGGTGACTCCATGTGTCTCAGAGTAGAATAGGGTTCCATAGGATTGCTGTCAAGGGCTGATTTTTTGGAATTACATTACCAGGCTTTTTCTTCTAAGGGTAGACTTGAACCATCAGTCTTTTGCTCAGTAATTGAGTGCTTAACTGTGCATCACCACCCAGAGTCATCATGAGTAAGAATCAATAGTAACTGGTTTCTTTCTTTCTTTTTTAGAGTTCCTAGACTTAAGCACTCAATTACTCACTGGATGGTTGGCTATTCAAGGCACCTCAGAAGACCATAAACCCACTGCCATTGAATTGATTCTGACGCAAAGTGACCCTAGAGGACGAAGTAAAACTTTTCTGCAAGGTTTATGAGACTGTCGATCTATTTTATAGAAACAGATTGGTCATCTGTCTCCCACAGATCGGTTGGAGGGCTCAAGCTGTCAACCTTTAGGTTTGCAGCCCGGTGATTAGCTTAACTTTCCTTGAAAGTTAGGCCTGACAATTTGCTTCTGAAAAGGTCACTGTCTTTGGATACACTATGGAGCAGTTCTACTCTGCACATGTGGAATTGCCTGCCATGAGTAGGAATCTATTCATTGACAACCAGCAATAAAAGAAGAGTTAGTAGACTAGATTAATAATGGCAGCAGGTGTCTATGAACCACTTACTGTGGGCCAGGAGCATGGTAAGGTAGACAAGGTCTTAGCCCACTCACTCAATTGACTTAGTTGCTATATAGCATTTTGATGGTCTTGGGACAGGGGACCTAAAACAGTAATACTGGGCTTTAGGAATCTGTTTTCAGATACATAGTCCAGACCAGAGTTGACTGGACTTGGTTGAGGCTGAAGCCCCTTTGTTCACCACAGCCACCTGGGGACATAGGATCCCCTGTGGACAATGGGGTTGTCTTTAACGAGCATTAATGTAACTGCCTGTGAAAACAATACCCATGATTTATGTGGAAGTTATACATGGGCTTAAAACAACCTCTTTATCAAGGTTTGAAGGCAGATTTGACCTTTGCAGTCAGGCCAAGATTTAAAGGGAAAACCTCAAAAAAAAACCCCAAAATACCGAGAAGGTAAAGCAGAGCCCCTGGAATATGGCATAGATGCAGGGCTCTGCCCGAGGACAGAGAAGCACCAGAGGACAAAAAGCCTGCGCACTCATTTACACTCCACTTTTTTCTTCCCAAGAAGCCCTGGTGTAAGTTGGCAGTTCAAACCCACCAGCCACTATGGAGGAGAGAGATGAAGCTGTAATGATTTACAGCCTCAGAAACCTTATATAAGGGCACTGTGAGTGGGGATTGACTCCTCCCAGGAGTCCCTGGGTGGTGCAAATGGTTAACATACTCATCTGCTAAACAAAAGGCTGGGTGTTCGAGTCTACCCAGAGGCACCTCAAAAGAAAGGCCTGGCACCTACTTCTGAAAATTCAGACACTGAAAACCCTATGGAGCATACTTCTAGTCTGACTCACATGGTGTCTCCATGAATTGGTGCCAACTTGATGACAATTAATTTCTCCTTCCCAGTGTGGACTGAAATGTACCCGTAAGAGAGTAAATCTGCACACGTACTCCACAGATGTCAACCTGTGCTTCTTCCCAAGCTACCTTCAACCCCATATGGAGTTGGGTGGCACAGCAGTCTGGGTGGCACAGGGGCAGCATGAGAGAAATTCTCACCCACCCCATTTGTCTACCTCCAACTCATCAAGGCTGGTGGGAGGAGGGGTGGAGGAGATGACCGACATCAAAGAAAGAGGTAACCCATCATATTCTCTTGTGAGACATATGAGGGGACTTCAAAAAGTTTGTGGAAACAATGAAGTAGGAAGATACGGCATTTTTTCCATGAACTTTTTGAAGCCCTCTTGTGGAAAAGAAGAAAGGAGTTATAAGTAGGGAGAAGAGTCAGTTTTTAGTTCTTCACAAGGACAGAAGGCATGGTAGCCAAGAAAACTGCCTCCACTATCCCTCTTCTTCCCACACAAACCCGAGTGTTCATCAGAGCGGCTTGAGGATGGAGATGGGATGCCCAGTCTACTCTCATTTCTCTACCACCAACCGAGGAACGGGAAAGGAGACCGGCAGCAGGAAGCCACAGGAGTGGTCAAGAGCACGGCCAACCAAGCTGGTTATGAGAAGACGGGACATGGGACCTGGACTCGCCACAGAGGGGAGCTAGAGATTTCAGCCTCCCCTCCCAAGGCATCTCCCAAGGCCTGAGCATCACTTTCCTTCTGCTCCCATAGGGCGAGGCGTGAGGAGATGGCCATGCTGACGCAGTGTCAGGCGATGAGATGAAGTGAGCAGGCGGTTCTTGTCAGACAGCACAGACGAGGTTCTACAGACAGACAAACCACATATGATGGATGGACACGAGACTGACACATAAGACACAGCGGGGGAGAGAAAAGAGAGACATGGTTAGGTCATGTGTACAGCCCAGATCCCACACCCCATCAATGCCACAGACCCAGACCCTCTCTCATGGTCATTGCCTCCCACCCAGTGCAAAGGTCAGTGGGGAGAGGCCACTGGTTGTGGAAGGGGCAATGCACTGACATCCTTGTCCCCTTGACTCCATACTTTTTCTGGAACATTCTCTTGAAGCAATAAGAATGGGATTCAACAAGTTCATGGAAAACTGGAATGAAAAGTGAATGGAATTTTTTCCCCATGAATTTGTTGAATCCCTCTCACGCATATAATCAGAATAGTCCATAATCCAAGGAATAGCAGAAGACCAGCTGCTCTTACCAAAGAATGTGGCTGGTGTTAGATGCAGATATGGTCAAATGTGGTTGTTATTAGACGCAGATGTGATAGTCGATTTTCAATTTGTAGCAACCCCCGTGTGATGGAATTTTTCTAGATTGTAATCTTGAAGGGAGCAGATTGGCAGATCTTTCTCCAGCGGCATCTCTGGGTGGGTTTGAACCACAGACACTTTCAGTTAGTAGCAAAGTCCTGAACCTTTCTACTGCCAGGGCTCTATTACTAAGAAACACAGCTGTGTAGGTCCAACAACCAGATCAAAGTCAAACAAACAAATACTTTGACTCTGTTGAGAAGACATTCAAATGTAGGCTAATGCAATCCATGATGGTAGAGTTCAGAGGAGCTTCTAGTCTGGCTGGGAATGAGTCAGGATACAATTTCTGGGCTGATGATGATGGTCTACATTTTCATCTGGGTAATGGCTATACAGGTGGATTACTTTTAAAGTTTCATGTAGCCTTACAATTAAATACCCAACATTTTGCTGCATATAATTCATATGTCAGTTCAAACAATAAACACAACATTGCCAGATTCCTAAAACCCTCCTCCACCACCCATCTGTTAATCTGCCATCCTGTGGTTGCTATGGTGCTGAAAGCTAAGCCTCTGGTATTTCAAACACCAGCAGGGTCACCCTTGGCAGACAGCTTTCAGCAGAGCTTCCTAGACTAAAACAGATTAGGAAGACAGGACTGGCGATCTACTTCTGAAAACCAGCCAATGAAAACCCTATGGATTCCAAGAGAATATTGTCTAATATAGTGCTGGGGATTGGAAGGCACTCAGAATACACAGAGACCACATCAATGCACCTGAGCAATGTTTTGTTCTGCCATATGTTGGTTTAGCATGAGCCAACTCAACAGCAAGCCCCTGGTCCTATTCCCACAAGTGCTCCAACTATCCTAACTTCTAATTCAGATAGTGGTTTGGGGTGTCTTTGTTTGCTTGTCTGTCACTCTATGCAGATTAAATAAGGGCAAGAAATTAGGGCTCCTAATTGCCCTAGCACTTAGAGGAAACTTGAGCCATCCTATGGAGAGCCTTTAACACATTCATAACTTTTGACCTAGAAAGACCTCTTTTAAAAAACAAATTCAAGGATGTAATCCTGAACAAGAAAACATAGCATCAAAAAAGCAACCACAATGTCAGAGAAGGATGAATTAATGAGAGTACATCCCCTTGGAGTGATAGTATGAATCCTTTGACAAGGTTGTTTGGGAAACCATGTTTTTTAAGCAGCTTTTTGAAGGTATAATGTGCATGCTATAGCATCATCCATTTTAAGTGTACAATGTACAGATTTTTAGTAAATTTACAAAGTTGTGCAATCATCACCACTACCTAATTTTGGAATTTTTCTGTCACCTCAAAATGTTCCTATCACCCCAGAATATTCCTATCACCCCTAGAACATTTCTATCATCCCCAGGACATTCCTATCATCCCAAAATGCTTCCTCATGTCCATTTGCCATCACTTGCAAATCCTATCCTCAGGTGTGGGCAATCAGCTACCCCACTTTCTGGGCATCTGCCTTTCTCAGGAAATTTCATATAAATGAAACCTTGTAATACGTGGTCTTTTACATCTGACTTATTTCACTCAGCTAGTTTTCCAGGTTCATGAATGTCATCTCATGTAGTGGTGGTAGTTGTGTGCTATGGAGTCGTTTCTGACTCACAGCAATCCTGTGTAGGGTTTCCAAGGCTTTAGGGGAGAGAAAGCCTCATCTTTCTCCCATGAAACAACTGGTAGTTTTGAACTGCTGACCCTGAAGTTAGCAGCCTGATTCATATTCACTACGCTACCAAAGCTCCTCTGTCGTTGCATGTACCCGAACTTGATTCCTTTTTTGTTGCTGAATAATATTCCACAGTATGGACATATTATATTTTATTTATCTATTCATCAGTTGTGGCTCATTGGGGTAGGCATAGGACTGCTAACTGTAAAGTTAGCAGTTCTACTCCATGCCAGAAAGATACGGCAGTCTGTCCCAGAAAAGACGTACAGTCTCAGAAACCCTAAGGACCTGGAGATGGTCCTGAGGGGTTGCTGTGAGTTGGAAAGGACTCAACGGTATTGCTGGATTATTTCCACTTTGGGAGGCATCATGAACAAAGCTGGAACCTTGGCACTGGACTTCAAAATGAAAGATTGATGGTTCAAACCCACCAGCCACTACTCAGAAACCCTACTGACTCAGGACCAACTCCACAGCAGTTAACAACAACAACAACAAAGCTACTGTCAACATTCACACACAAGTCTGTGAAAGCATATGTTTTCATTTCTCCTGACTAGTTTCCCAGGAGTTGAATGGCTGTGTCATATGGTAACTTGATGTTTGACTGTTAGGAAACTGCCAGGCAGCTTTTTAATGTGACTGTGCCATCTTCCCTCCCCACGTGCTGTGTCTGGGGAGACTCTGTGATACAAGACAGAGCCCATGTGCGGTGGACAAGATGGAAGAGGATGCTGTGTACACACAGGCATCTCTGGGAGTGGGAAAAAAAAGCATCAAGATCTTCACAAAGGAGTGCTTTTGATGGGGAAAAGAAGAATCTTTCTTTTTCCTTTGACTTTTTTAGGTTCCGGCTCTGGGCTGACCTGTCCTTGGTGGAGTCCTTCACTGACTGCTCCCAGTCATTCCTGGAAAATGCTCCTGTCCCCGGTTCTGCTGGGTCAGAGAGCTTTAGTCCAAGACTTCCCTAAGGTCTTCTTCTTCTGACTTCCAGTGAGTTGTTCTAAAAAGATGGCTTGGGCTGCTGTTAGGAGCCCTGTTGATGCAGTGGGTTAAGCCTTGGGCAGATAGCCACAAAGTTGGTGGTTCGAACCCACCAGCTGATTCATGGGAGAAAGATGAGGCAGTCTGTTCCCATAAAGATTTACAGCCTGGGAAACCCCCAAGGACAGTTCTACTCTGTCTTATAGACTCGCTGTGAGTTGGAATGGGTTCTGCAGCAGTGGGTTAGGTTTGCACCTTGGAAGAAAGGCCTGGTGATCTGCTTCTGAAACATCAGCTACTGAAATCCCCATGGAGCACAGTTCTTCTCAGACACACCTGAGTGTATCCGTGAGTTGGAGTCGACTCCAGAGCCAGTAGTTTGGTTTTGGTTTGTTCTGGGAACGGATTGGTAATCACTGGTCAGTCTGACAGCAGCTGTGACCTCAGTAACCTACAGGGTCTCACAAGGAAGGAACCTGAAGGTCCAAAGAGCCTAGGAGGAACATGTCATCTATGGACAGACTCTAGATACAAGTCCAAGGGCAAACAGCCGGGTCAACCTGAGGATAAAGTCTCCTGCTGCATGTGCTCGCCAGCTTGCAAAGGCCCCGGGAAAACACATGAAACTGGAGAACTGGCAGGAAGTTGCCTCTCTGGGGTGGAGGTTTGGGGGACAGAGACCCCTTCCTCTGTTCATCTCCTCGGGAGATAAGGGAGAGACCCCGAAGTGGCCCACAGACAAAATCTACCTCCTACAGTCGGTGAGTGGCAACAGCGTTTGAATAGGCCTGGTGTGGATGGCTGCCCTCACCCACCAACCTTCCAGCCCAGGCTCCCGCCAGGTCTGAGGCTGCTTCCCAAGAATTGTCCTTGCCTTTGCAGTTCCAGGGGCATTCCTGGCTGTGAACCTGTGCTGTCCTCTGGGAGGCTGTCTGTGTCTCCACAGGGCATCAGCACACAGGGACAAACAAGGAGAGGAAGCCCAGTGAGGGGCCTCCACTGGCCATGCCTGGCCACTGGCAGGCTCCAGGCCAGCCCCACTGACCCAGGGCCAGGAGCCAGTCTTGCTGGCGCGACTTTGTCAAGCTTTAATTTAGGCAAATGCTCTACTCGTCACATTCTCTTCCAGTCTGATGCTCACACCTGCCCCGTCAGCTGCTGTTTTAAGCCCATGAGGAGGCCCCAGACGCTGGGAATTCATGCTATGAGGCCCCAGGTCTTCCCTTCAAAGTGAAGGAACTGTTGGACTGAAAGACAACTCCCAAAGTCAGGGATGGCTTGAAGCAGCTTTCCAGGCAGACACATGTTGGGACCACCATTGTCCATTCCCAACAAAGCAGCCAGTCCTCCAATGGAATCACCTGCTTCATAGAATAAGCATCCAAGGATTTATAGTAGTTATGGGGTCCCTTAGGTCCTGACTCTGCTGGTCCTCTGAACACCAACTACCTGAAGGACTCTTTCTCTTGTCATCTTGGGTGTTCCACACTCTTCCAGACACGTTCCCACCTCAGGGCCCTTGCACGTGCGGTTCCCTCTGTTCAAATGTTCTTCCTCACACATCTATAAGACTCATCCCTTCACCTCCTTCATGTCTCATCCAGAATCATCTTCTCAGTAAGCCTGTCCTCACCTCCCTATTTAAATCGTAGCACTATCCCCTCTCTGCTCCCCCCTTCCCCTACCCCCTCCCCACACACACATCCCGGGACTCCTCATCTCTTTATCCTATTCTTTTTCCCCAATGGCACTTAGTCC